ATGGCAATCAAAAACCACTTCGACCATGACGTCCATCACCAGCACTACTACACAGACTGGACGACTACAACCTTCGCTCGCACCCGCGCAGAGAACCCTGATAAGGGACTACACGAGGTTCTGCAGATCCTGCTTGACAAGCTGCAGCTATGCCAGCGTGCCCTTGGCAAGAACTTTGAGGGTGAGGATGCCCTCCGCACTACGGTCATCAATGCCTGCCGAGGAGTACCAGAACTTGAGATGGCACTGTTCAAGCCAGCCACAATCTGTGAAGGACTCTTCTCAGATCTACGATCCGCAGTGGAAACACACCTAGCACGGCAACACACCGCCCAGTTGGTCACAGAAGATCAATACTACCTAGACCGCCGATACAACGGCAATGGAAGGATCCGAGGTGGATCTCGAGGTGGAGGAGGATTCAGAGGCGGATCCAGAGGAGCATACCGAGGAGGCGAGCAGCGCGACGACAACGGACGAGGATTCAAGCCACGTTGGAGGAAGAAATGCTTTGTTTGCCGGAAGGAAGGATGCTGGTCTACCAACCACACAGATAAAGAGCGCAAAGATGCCCGTGCGCAGTTCTTCTCTACGCTATACTTTACAGGTGCACAGCCCCCTGAGGACTTCTCCGTACATCTTGCAGAATACGAAGGGATCGAGCACACCAGCCAGTACAATCAGAGAGGCTGGAGAGAGGAGGAAGACTGCGAGGATGACGAGGATGACGACGTCGCGGAAGCACATTCTGAACACCAGTTCTTCAAGGAGCAATGCCTTGCAGACCAGGCGTTCTTGCATCATATCTCGGGCGACGACATATACAGCCGAGACGCGCCGTCAGCACCAGCATCGCAGTTCCTGCTTGAGGACCGCTACACACGATCTGTGTACCAAGGAATCCTACCAGATACAGGCGCTGCAAACGTATCCACGGTCGGCAAGGAGCAATACCTCGCACTTACGAGAGAAGATCCGACGGTTAAGTTAGACACATCTACAGCAGGGAAAGCGTCTATTAAATTCGGAAAAGGCGAGGCTACAGCGTCGATTGGCACCGTGCAGGTCTCTACGGAGATCGGAAAAATCAACTTCGAAGTGCTCGAGGCGCCTACGCCGTTCTTGCTATGCCTTGCAGACATGGACCGCTTAAAGGTATACTTCAACAATACGACAGACGAGCTGGTTCAGGATGACGTACACATCCCGGTGATTCGCAAATGGGGACATCCTTGGTTCCATCTAAACAAGAGAGAGAGAGCAACTATGTTCCTAACGGAGACAGAATTGCGACGGCTCCATCGACGGTTTGGACACCCAGCTGTTACGCGACTAGTCAAACTCTTAAAGGATGCTGGCCATAACGACTTCGAAGAAAGAACCCTAGAAGAAGTCACTAAGTTCTGCCACCACTGCCAGCTCCACAGCTCCGCGCCGCGCCGATTCAAATTCACTCTTAAGGATGATCACCACTTCAACTATGAGATCCTGGTGGACGTAATGTACCTAAGCAACAAACCTGTACTGCATGTGGTCGATTCCTCAACAGCGTTTCAAGGCGCGAGGTTCCTCAGCGCTATCTCAGCTAAAGAAACATGGCAAGCACTGCGGATACTATGGATCGACACCTACCAGGGACCACCCGACATCATCACGCATGATGCAGGTACTAACTTCGCGAGCGCAGAGTTCCGCGCAGAAGCAAAGATCATGGGAGTCACATGCAAGCAAGTACCTACGGAGGCGCACTGGTCTATCGGCAAAACTGAGAGGTACCATGCCCCTCTACGCCGGGCATGGGACATACTCCATGCAGAACTCACTGACACTATGTCCGACGACGCGATTCTCCAGATGGCTGTGAAGGCTGTTAACGATACTGCTGGCCCTGATGGACTAGTCCCGACGTTACTAGTCTTTGGAGCGTACCCACGAATGACTGCAGAGTCACCGCCATCACCATCAATGGTCAAACGCAGCGAGGCTATTCAAAAGGCGACGAAAGCCCTGCGCAAGCTCACTGCAGAGCGCCAAGTTGCAGACGCCTTGAACACCCGCAATGGACCAGCCACTGCAGACATGCTCGCGCTCCCACTCCAGAGCGAAGTCTTAGTATGGAGAGAGAGTGATGGCTGGAATGGCCCGTACAAGATCGCCAGTACAGATGGCCACAACATCACTGTCGACATGGTTAATGGTCCAGCGACATTCAGATCAACTGTCGTTAAGCCATACTACAGACCAGACCACCTGTGGAGCGACCCTGATGCGCCACACGCGCCGAATGAGCCGAATGAGCCGCACGAGCCGATAGCAGTACCTCCGGCAGCGCAACCACGTAGAAGAGGCCGCCCTCCAGGGTCAAAGAACAAGCGGAAGGCGCACGCGTACATCACCAAGAAGGAGCAGGACGATCTTGAGCTAGCTATCAAGCTACGGAACGATGGCGTGATCACAACCTCAGGCGCCCCCTTTGAAGCGTCTGATGACCAAGAGATCAGCGACCTAGTAGGTCGTGGAGTCTTCAAGTTTGAGCAATACGACGAGAGGCTACACAGCAAGATCCGGATCTTTAAGTCACGCCTAGTACGTGAGGTCAAGGGAAAGACAACTAAGCCTTATGAGAAATCCCGTCTGGTTATCCAAGGCTACCAAGACTATGGCAAGGAGGCTATCTTAACGCAGTCGCCAACCATCCAGCGATGTAGCCAGCGCCTGATTATGTCGCTGGCGCCTGGGCTAGTACAAAGCGGCATGAGCGTTGAGCTACGTGATATTACGCAGGCATACCCACAGGCTCAGACAACACTGAAGAGGACGATACTCGCACACCTCCCTACCGAGCTGGTACATCGATATCCAGAAGGCACGATACTCCACGTGATCAAGCCACTATATGGGATCGCGGAGGCAGGAGTCCACTGGTGGACAACATATCACGGACACCACTGCAAGGAACTAGATATGTCAACATCTACGTACGACCCATGCCTGTTGATCACGAACAGCGACGACGCAGACGTCTTCGACATCGTCGGTATGCAGACAGACGACACCCTCATGCTCGGAACGACCGCGTTCTTATCACGCGAAGAGAAAAAGATCCAGAAGGCGCAGTTTAGATCAAAACCAAAGGCTATGCTGACACCAGAGGTGCAGTTAGACTTTAATGGATGTACACTTACGATGGACGCCAGCAGAGTCTTAATCCTCAGGCAGAAAGGACAAGGAGGAAGGATCAGGCTTGTTGATATTAGGGCACCCGACCGCGCGCAACAGTACACCGAGCAACGCGCCCGCGGAGCGTACATCGCATCAACATGCCAACCAGAGGCATCATTTGATCTGTCCGTAGCTGCTCAAGCGCAGCAACCATCAGACGAGGACATTAAGGCACTCAACAAGCGCCTGAAATGGCAGATGGAGAATCTCACTCGTGGCCTACGCTACGTCACTGTCAACCTTACGGAGGCTAAGTTGATAGTCTTTGTAGACGGCTCCTTTGCCAACAACAAGGACCTCAGCTCACAGCTAGGCTTTGTCCTCATGCTCGTCAACGAGTCCATTGGCGCCAACACCTTCACAATACAAGGCAACGTGATCCACTACAGCTCTACAAAGTGCAAGCGCATCACACGGAGCGTACTGGCCTCAGAGATCTACGGCATGGTCAACGGCTTTGACATAGGCATCGCGGTTGCAACCACGCTAAGGATAGTTACAGAACGACTTGGACTACCTGCAATTCCCTTGGTTATCTGTACAGACTCGTACTCCTTGTACGAGTGCCTAGTAAAGCTTGGGACAACGAAGGAGAAGCGCCTCATGATCGATATTATGGCGCTGCGCCAATCATATGAGCGTCGCGAGATCACGGAGATCCGCTGGATCAATGGCGAAGACAATCCTGCAGACGCCTTCACGAAGGCATCGCCAAACCGCGCTCTTGAACGCTTTATTGACGGCAATAAGCTGACAGTCCGAGTAGATGGATGGGTGCAGAGGCCAACAAGCTTTGATGTTTAATGCTATACACTGTCACTACCGATACAAGCAGAGTTACTAGCTATCCAGAAAGAAAAGACTTCCAGTGTCGGATCGTGAGTATCGGTAGAGACGTCGGCTGCTGGACACTTCGGCCCGACTTCGGCCCACCTTGCGCAAGAGCTTAGGTATACCTTCGTAGCACCTATGTTCGTAGATATCAATTAGAACCACCGAACAGAATGCATTCCTAGTTATCGTTATTTCCCTTTACGCACTTAGTGCAAAGCCAACCAACACTGGCTATATATAACGAGGCACGTGATATCCTCGAACCAGTCCTTGAATATAGGCGCCAGCTCAAGGCCGAGGCGAAACGCAGGGGCATGTCCATCCCGATCTACAATGACGCAATCGAGTGGGCCGAAATCGAGAGTCGAGGACGCCCATACAGCCCTGTGGACTGCCAATTAAACCTGTCATTTGGTGCAATTCACACGAGCTCAGCCTTGCTCACTCAGGTATTGACGCGTCTTTCTAATGAGCCGCATCTAATCACGCCGCTACGACAAGAAATCATCGAGGTGCTTAAAGCCGAGGGCATGAACAAGAATTCGCTTTACGACCTGAAGCTCATGGACAGTGCGCTTAAAGAAACACAGCGAATAAAACCAGATCAAATGCGTAAGTTTCTGTCCCGACGTTTATTAGAAGGATGCACATTGCTGATATTTTCGTTCCAGTAAACCTGAGAAGGATGGCCACGGATAATCTTGTCACCTCTGATGGTCTTGAGATTAAGAAAGGTCAAAGAGTTGCCGTGGATTTGGGCAACATGGTCGACTTAAAGGCATATCCGGAGCCAGAGAAGTTCGACATTTACCGCTACTACAACATGCGACAAAACCCTGCCACCGCCGTCAAGTCCCAGTTAGTCGCCACTAGCGTTGACAATTTAACCTTCGGCCACGGAAACCACGCATGCCCGGGTCGTTTCTTCGCTGCGAACGAGATCAAACTCGCTCTCTGCCACCTCTTGCTAAAATATGATTGGGAATTGTCGCCGGACGCAAGCCTAGAGGCTATATACCCGGCCGCAGCTATGTCGATGCTGGATCCGAGTAACAAAATACGGTTTAGGCGTCGCAAGGCGGAGTTGGATATAGATAGTTTAGTGTAAGTACCGTCGGCGTCAGCGTACCGTGCGCAACGCGATCAAACGAGCTAACGAGGGGACACGAAACTAAAAACCATGGAGCGCATTTTATATTATTTGTATTGGAACAAGGTCCCTCTAGTAGTATGACTACTATGGATAACCGAGTGGGAGGAGGGACAAGGCGGGGTGGCTGCAACGTATTGTATTGACTATCGTGTATTGTATCTCTCTTACTCTTTCTGTTGTGGTGGGTGCCATTGCCCACCGGGCAGTACCTGCCACACCAGCACATCACGTGACTCTCAATCACCTTCTACCCTGGACTGAACCCAGATATTCTCAACAATTTGTTGAGATAAAAAGTGAACACTTTTTGCCTATGCGTTGATTGGTACACATAACATACCTCACTAGCGAGTCACTCACACGCCCGAGTCGCTCACTTTTGCCAATTATTATTAACATGATCCATGGGCGAGCGGCGCACACGGGCGAGCGGCGCACCCCACCAACTTTACTCACCTTACTGATCTTAATCTACAATGGCTCAACGCAGCGCTACTCAATTACTATCAAATGAAGCAGATATTCAGCTTGCTATCTCATCTATTAATGCGCACCAGATCCAAGGTACCCGTACTGCTGCAGTAGTCTACAACGTAGCCGAAACAACGCTCCGCCGCCGACGCGCTGGTATACCTGCCCGACGCGATTGCCCGCCCAACTCAAGGAAGCTTACCCAGAGAGAAGAGGAGGTGATTATTAGCTATATACTTCAGCTAGATCTGCGTGGATTTGCGCCTACCTACACAGCTGTACGTGATATGGCTGATAAGCTGCTGGCTGCGCGTGGTGGAGAGCAGGTTGGAGTCAACTGGCCATCTACCTTTGTTAAGCGTACAGACAGTCTTCGGACGTGTTTCAACCAAGCGTACGATAGGCAGAGAGCTCTTTGTGAGGATGCAACATTAATAAAGAGGTGGTTTAAGCTTGTAGAAGAGACAAAGGCTGAGCTAGGTATCTGCGATGAGGACGTCTACAACTTTGATGAAGCTGGCTTTATGATGGGCAAGATTACAACGCAGCTAGTTATAACAGGAGCAGAGAGGAGAGGCAGGCCGAAGAGTATTCAGCCAGGCAATCGCGAGTGGGTAACGCTGATCGCTGCTATCAGCGCTGCTGGCTGGTCAGTCCCACCGTTCCTCATCTTCGCTGGCCAGTACCACCTATCAGCCTGGTATAAGGAAGCTGAGATCCCACGCGACTGGGCGATCGCAGTCAGCGATAATGGCTGGACGAATAATGAGCTTGGAAGTTGAAGTGGCTAAAAGCACTTCAACGCTCACACGCAGGCTCGTAAGTGTAGGCCGCGCGTCGCCTGCTTATTATTGATGGCCATAAGAGCCACCAATCTCTAGAGTTCCAGGAGCTCTGCAAGGAGAACAAATATCCATACGCTCTGTATGCCTCCCTCACTTCATCTCACCTTACTCCAGCCACTTGATGTTTGGCTGGTTTCTCGCCATTTGAAGCGCGCGTACAGCCGTGAGGTGGAGAGCCCTTATGCGCAACCCACATCAACCACATCACCAAGCTAGAGTTTCTGCCAGCGTTCAGGCAGCATTTGATCAAGCGTTCACGCCAGCCAATATCTGCTCAGCCTTCCGCGGCGCAGGCCTTGTTCCTCTACAACCAGAGGCTGTTCTATCAAAGGTAGATGTACAACTGCGTACACCTACTCCTCCAGCAGCTCTGCCAGAGGCTCCCTGGGTAGCTCAAACGCCGAGCAACGCGCGTGAGCTTGAGGCTCAGTCAAGCCTAATACGTGAGCGCGTGCGCCAGCACAAGAGCTCATCACCAGCTTCAATTATTATGGCGATTGACCAGCTAAAGAAGGGCGCCGAGGTGATGATGCTCTCTGCTGAGCTGATGCGCGATCGGATCTCTAGTCTTGAGAAGGCCAATAGCGCAGCCTCAGAGCGTAGGCGGCGCTCTAAAAGGCGTATACAGAAGCATGGAGTACTCACAAAGGGAGCTGGAGAGGATATACTGGCTCAAAATGAGGCTGACCAGCAGATTGCTCATGAAGAGCGTCAAGGAGGAGCGCGATCAGCAGACTCCGCAACAATCAATCGATTGACATGATTGATTCCTATATAGGTTAAAGAATTACTTCATTAGGCAGCCTTTAACCTAGATAGGAATCAATCATGCCGATCCGATTGATTGTTGCGGAGTCTGGCGATCAGGCCTCAGCCAGCGGGCTCAAAGGCGCTGCACTAGGTGCAAGGAGACTGGGCACAACTCGCGCACATGCAAGACTGATACTATTAATATAGAGTAATCTACTGTATCAATATCTAGCAATAATATTATCGCGTTGTTGAGATGCATCGCTTTAAAGTTGCAAAAGTTGGTGGGGTGCGCCGCTCGCCCGTGTGCGCCGCTCGCCCATGGATCATGTTATAGTGAAGAACAATTATGGCGAGATATTATTCTCCGTATCTTTCGAAACTCAACTCTATCACTACGTTCAACTCCTGATTTATTATGCTTCCATCGGAACTTCTCTTCTATTGTAAAAAGCGGAGCTACGCATTGTGGTCACTCTGAATAGGTATAGCTACCAATGCAGTCACTCTGGTCATACTCCGCGCAGCTAACGGAAAAGAAAAGGAAAAAGGGCAGTGCATATACGATAATTACCTGCATATACATGATCGGCCGGTTTGTTTAGGGTATTCTAGGCGAGTCCCGGGCCGGACGGATGGACCAGGCTCCTTACCGTGCTTAGCATAGATCTTGATAGATACCAGCGGTTAACGGGAGCACAACAGACCGAATATGTAGTTGCGGTCCTTGATACTCCGTGGCGTGCTATCCATGTTCGGAGTTTCGGAAGAAGGCTACTAGAATTCATGAGGAATACCAGGCAGTGTCTCGTTGACGATATACATATCTTCTAAGATTATATTTGGTGGGCATCCACTCGCTGAGAACATATCACTCTTCTACGCTCTATTAGAGGCTTAAGAGGGCTGTCTTTTAGTGTAGCCCTTTTTATTCTACCTGTGTAGCTGCTTGTGTAGTAGGCATCGCCTTTACCCTCTATAGCGCTTCTTAAGCGTGCTACTGCTTTGTTGCCAACTCTTCTGAATCTACTACCTGGGCGAGACTTGAGGTCCCGAATAAGATTCTGGCTATCGCAAGTGCCTCTTTGGTACCACTGAGAAATACATCGCTGGCAGGACTAAGGTCGTGGTACCGGAGGGTGCGCCTCCAGCCTGTTCGTCATCATGATAGGTGTCAAAGCATCGAACCTTATATCCCAATTCAACATCGCAAAAATATTTGTCACGGTTTGGGGTCTCTCCTGCTCTGCTCCTGCAGTCGCAACTTACCTTTGTAATGGAACGATGCCTATCTGGGACTAGTGCTGTTTACGGTCACCCACCTACATATACAGTTTGTAGACTCAGACAATACAACCTCAGTTCAATCCTTCAATTCTTCCAGCACCCACTATCCCCACAATATTACTATCAGGACAAAACACGACAAGATATCATGTTTTTGTAGTATTTCTGCACACCACGGGTAGGTAGTCTAGAATTCGCATCGACTGTTAGCGTCATGCACTACCAAGCGGGTAACTTGCCATTTTTCTTCCTGTACTAGTCACAACCGCTTTCGCAACCAATTTGAACCCCTGAATTTTGTCTTACGCTTTTTCTGGCACTGTCAGCATGTAGCGTTAGCCAAGTAACACCCTAACAATTAATCCACCACTAGCACCAGTATAGCTACGAACCTCTCGGTGCCAAGAATTACCACCGAGACTCAGATGAGGTGAAGTAAGACCTAGTCACGTCCTGGACTAAGGCAAGGACCGTGTGCCGTATCTCCTTTCTAGGCGGGCAACGGCGGAAGAGATCCGGATAATAGTCAGCCGACCGTCTCTCATTAGTATTGTAACTTGTTTTTCCTATAAATTCGCTTCGCACTATCCACTTGATAGACTTGCATCTTCCCCACAGGACATCAACCAAGACATTGCCACCAAATACTTCCAAGTTTCCAACACCTACCCTAAACCAATATGCGGTTCTCTCTACTCGTACCAGCTGTTGTACTAGCGCTAGGTGATGGCGCCCTAGCCATTTACGGCTGCATCTGTAGAGATGTGTGTTTCTGCGGCCCGGAATGAAAGGATAAGAGACTAATACATAGCAGCAAGCATACGGTCCCGATGCAAGATGGACTCAGTCGAATTGCGATAGGCTACGGGGTAAGTCAACAGGCAAGTATTTACATAAGAATGGTTGCTAAAGTATAGTATAGGCACCTGGGATTCAGACATTACTGGCCGCAACCAGTTTTTCTACGGCATGGCTCCGTACCAGTGCAAGTTCGACAGGGCAGATATCGACCCTGCTACTTGGGATACATACTGCCGGGCCGGTAACCAGGGCCGAGGGAATGTCCAAAACTCGGGCGGCTTTGTTGGCACGTGGTCCGGTTTGTGCAATACAGCCGCGAATCGATGATAGTGATCATGGTGCCGCGTAATGCTTTCGTCAACAAAGCTGTCGATAGTTGGCCCTAAAACAAGTCACCACGCCTCCTGCTCTCTGATTCTGTTTCTGGCGAGACTAGGAGTATAATGTCACACTTATCAACGGTCATTATATAGCACTGTTTGAAGAAAATTTCCAACTAGTGGCGATCAAGCGCAATCTATTAATCATTCGTGCCATCAACATGTCTACGTGTGATGCTCGTCTATGCCAAACTCTGCGCCTCACACATCTTCTTATATAAACTGTTTTCTCCACCCGACAACAACTCGGCATGTGTGCCTTGCTCCACAATCCTACCATTATAGAATACGCAGATCTGATCTGCATCTTTGATCGTCGATAACCGATGTGCAACAGCAATCGTAATGCGATCTCCTTCTTTTGCAGCTTCCGACAAGGCATTCTGCACAATCTTCTCACTCTCGGTATCGAGTGCGCTCGTTGCCTCGTCGAGGAGGAGAATGCGCGGGTTGCGCACGAGTGCACGTGCAATGGCGATGCGTTGGCGTTGGCCGCCAGAGAGCTGGGTTCCGTTCGGTCCCGCGGCTGTGTTGATGCCTTCGGGCAGGGAAGATACAAAATCCCAGGCGTTGGCTGCGCGTAGTGCTTTTTCGATTACTTCGTCGGACATGTCGCTTGTTTGGAGCATTGTATTGGTGTTGGGGTTGTCTACGCCGAGCGCAATGTTGTCGCGAATGGTGCCTTGGAAGAGCGTCGGCTCTTGTTGTACAAGACCTACTTGACTTCTGTACTTGCGAGGGTTCAGAGAGGCCAGATTGTCTTGGCCAATGAGGATGCGACCGCCCGTGGGATCGTAGAAGCGTTCGAGCAGGGATATGATTGTGGACTTGCCGCAACCAGAAGCGCCTACCAGGGCAATGAATTGGCCTTTGGCAGCTTCAAGGTCGATACCCTTGAGCACAGGAGCGTTTGGGCGTAGAGGATAGGCGAAGCGTGCGCCGCTTAGTTGTACAGAACTTCCAGGCTTGGGCGCGTTATCCATGTTGTCTGGTGTTTCGCGAACCGTGGGTTGCAGCTGACGAAGCCAGAAGATTGCGTTGGCCCCATTCTTGCCCTTGGTTATACTGGTTGAGAACTGGAAAATCTGTGACGTCGACTGTGCGCAAAAGAAGACAGACATATACGCGATGAAGAACTCGACCATGGTAATCTCCCCGAAAGAGACAAGGCGAGTGCCGTACCAAAATCCCAGAGCCATGAACCAGTACTCGGACGCTTGCGTCAAAGCAAACCACACCATGACGTTGAGAAGTGGCTTTAGCGAGTGGTTGATTGCATAGTCCAGCTCGTACGTGTATCGCGATAGGATAGAACTTTCGATGCCCAACGAAGACACGGTACGAATGGCCGTCGTGGACTCGGATGCAATGGCAGAGCTGGTTGCAAGTCTCTTGGCGATGATGCGGTCGAGCCTGCCGTCCAAGATCATTTTGAGCCAACCGCATCCGACAAGAGCAGGAAGACCGGCGAGAACGATAACTAAACCCAGCTTCCAGGCGTAAACCATACCCAGGACAGAGCAAGTTGCGACGCTCAAGCCAGCGATGAGGATGAACCCGATGTTGAAGCCCATCAGCTCAAACACCGCCTGGGGGTAAGCGTCGATACGACTCGCCAAAGCTCCAATGTTGTTTTCCGGTCGATCGAAATACTCGAGATCCTGGCGGAGGATGTCGTTGAAGATCTGCTTTCGCAGATTATGAGCCAGAGTTTGCGCGAGCGTATTGGTCCCCCAGCCCATGACGTAGTAAGCAAAAAGACAGGCACCAGCGAGTGCGACGAACATGGCGGCAAAGAAGTCGCCCTTGTCCAGCATCTCATCCTTGGGCAATGTAAAGACATCAATCATGTGCGCCATGAGAACCGCTTGACCAGGAAACAAGCCAGCAGAGACCACACAGCCAGAGACCAGTGCCAGATATGCCCACTTCAAGTCCGGATTCTCTATGACTAGCCGCCAGACAACAGTAAACAACCCAAGCTGTTTGTAGTTGTCATCACTGTATTTGCCTTGTTCGGGCTGCGTGTCAGCGTCTGCTTGGTCCGCAGTCGCGTACCGAGCGAGGGATTTGCTAGGCTGGAGACCGTCGCCCTCCTTTTCGTCCAGGCTCGACTTTCCTGCAATGCTGCCTTCAGGCGTTGGCTCGTCCGCAACGGTGAGTTGTTGGATGGCTACGAGACGCGAATAAGCGCCATTTGCGGCGATGAGGCTGTCATGAGTTCCTTGCTCCAGAATCTTGCCCTTTGACATGACGACGATGTTGTCTGCTCTACGGATAGTAGCGAGCTTATGCGCGATTACTATAGTGGTCCGGCCGGCAGCAGCCCGGTCAAGAGCCTGCTGGACGATGCCCTCTGCGTAGGGATCGAGAGCACTAGTCGCTTCGTCTAGTAGGAGGACCTTGGGATCAGAAACCAGACTCCGCGCAATAGCAATTCGCTGTTTCTGTCCACCGGAAAGGAGGCCGCCACGTTGGCCAATGTCTGTGTCGTAGCCATCAGGGAGCTGCGAGATGAAGTCGTGGGCATACGCAATTTTTGCTGCCTCCACCACGTGAGTCATCTGCTCTTCCTTGGTGGCCGCTTGCAGAGAAGTACCGTTGAGGCCATGTGCGATGTTATCAAAAACTGTTCCACGGAAAAGAACTGGTTCCTAGAATGGCGAGGTTAGTTGGGATACCAGGGGAAAGTACAAGACTAACCTGTTGTACTAGGCGTATGTTCCTCCGAAGCCAGGCAATGTTCAAAGATTCAATGGGTCGCCCATCAAGTCTGATAGATCCTGACGTGGGGTTGTACCATCGCTCCAAGAGACCGACTATGGTGCTTTTGCCAGAGCCACTATGACCCACTAGGGCAGTGACCTTGCCCGCAGGTGCGTGAATCGAGAAGTTGTCCAAAACGGTAACATTGGGACGAGTGGGATACGAGAACGTGACTCCGTCCAGGTCGACATCTCCGATGAGAGATTCTGGCTGTTCACCAGACAGATCGAAAGGATCGATAGTCGTCTTCCGGTCAATCAGGATAAAGAGCTGGGCAGCAGCAGAGGCAGCGCGAGTGAACTCGATAGAGTGGGGCGCGAGTTGAGTGATGCTGAGTGCGGCGATAACAACCGACAGAAGGACGGTGAAGACGTCTCCAGTGGAGGCAATCTCACCATTAGCCAACATGTGGATACCCCTCCAGAAAGCCAGCGCATTACCAAGATAAATGATCGTGTACTCGGCCGAGAACAGGATGCCAAATAGTAGAGAGATCTTGTCACCCCACCAATGTGCCTTGACGAGGAAGGCGTCGAACTTGTCCACCAGACGCGTCCTCATCTCAAACGCATGGACTGTGCGGACGCTGGAAAGAACACCCTCAGCAAAAGAGTTGGCCAAAGCATAGTATTCAAGAATCTTGGCCTCATATCCAGCTTCGATAAACGCACAGCCAATCATAACACCAACAGTCAACGGCGCAATACCGCAAATGATGAGAGTAAGCTTCCAGTTGGTGTAAAATGCTATGATGAAGGAGCTGATGAAAGCTGCTAGGCCCTGTACCGTAAGGCCCAGCTTTTCGGAGATGCCACCCTGCACAAGACGGCCACTGGAGTAGGCTTGAGTCGCGATGGATCCGCTAGTGCCAAGGTCGTAGTAAGCTACCTCTTGCCGCAGGGCCGACTTGAGGTAGTCATGGCGAATGTTTCGGACTATCCGGTAGGCGCTGAATGTAAGGAGGGAGTTGTAGATGTACGCCATCACTAACCTTCCAACGCCAAGGAGGAAGAAGTAAAGTGCCAGGGTCGAGCCCTTATTCCTAAAGTCGGCTGCAGCGGCCTTGTCGGACCCAAAATCCGTGAATACTGTGACGAATTGACCAAAGATGATGTTCTGAGAGGCGATGCCGACTCCTGACGCCATGGCGGCAACCCCAGCGATGCTGATCATGGCGACTTCAAGTCTGCCAGCATAAGTAAACACTCTCTGATAATAGGTTAGCATCTAAGTGGTCGCATTGAAAAGTCCAGCATAACAGTCTCACATACCCAGTAGGCTTTCCATGCGCTCATGGTAGGCTGATCGTCCAATGCTGATACCGAGCCCTCGTCCAGCTGTACCACGGCATCCCGTTTCTCTCCGCTTCCTGAAGCGCCCATGTCGAAGGATGATCGTCGAACCAGTCGTCTCTCGTGAGCAAGCTTGTACGAAGTACCCAGAGTCTCACACCAGGGTGATGATGCGATACAAGTGGGAGTCTGTGTATGTCGAGATCCGGCCTGAAACAACTCTGGGGAGGGATTGTGAGACCCATTCTAAAATATATAGAAATTAGAATCCCGTATGATTGGAGCTCGGATCTTGCTACGAGAACGCGGTTTGCCGTGTGCGTTCACTGAACAGGACTTGGGATGCTTGGAGGCACACGATATGTGGGTCCGGGGCTTGGTAAGACCGCGGAGACCGAAAAACCTGTGGGGCATCGCTACCTCTGCAGACCGCTGTCACCGGAATCACAACTGCAGGGTTCTCGGATCGCTCTATCCTAAGAATAATACTCGAAACACTTCTAACGTCGCACCTTCTATGGGGTCGGGGTTGCACCATGACCGTAAATATCATGAGTAAGCAGCCCGCAGTCGCTGAAGCTGTTGGGATTATAAACGAAAATATCCAATAAACATGCGAAACGCGATGGGTAGCAGAAGGATAAACCTGGAGATGGGGGGAGGTGGGACTAGACGGAAGAAACACCATGAGGCGGCTTGCTGCAAGGCTCAATACCTTCGCTCGGACGGATAGCCAACACACCCCGAGAGCTTCTTGTGGTGGCATCGGATAACACGTCAAGGCGGACTTGGTTACCAGCTTCATCGTCTTCCTTACGGTCCGGCAATATGGGCAACAGCTCTTCCACACTTACCCTATACCCATCCACCGAATGCCTTAATACCTCGGCTAGAACGGCTGCATCCACACTTCTCTGGATGTTACCCCCATGTTCTTGCGAGACATGGTAGATTGATAATACATCTTTTGTTAGTCGTGTTTGGTCATATAGCGGTGCCACCGTGTCTTGTTGGGGGGATCTGCTAATCTTCACAGTACGAGATGTACGGATTTGTCGTGTGTATTCTGAGAAGGTGTAAAGAGGTATCATACCCGATATGGCAAGCTCTGTAGATAACCGTCGTGGCCTGTGCTCATTCGATCATACAGCATGGTAGCTCAATGGCGGGCGGACATGCCGCTACCCCACGATACGTATGGCGGGGCCAATAACGCTGTATTTGCCAGGGCGTGCGATTTGTTAGCGGTACGGGCTAATAACATCCATAGTAGTTGCCAAGTCATGTAAAAAGAGGCTGATTTGACTACTCTATATCCGCGAGTCGTGCTAGTATAGGTCCCAAGAAACCACCCCAGAATCCATTTGCGCTCTCATCTACACCGTACTCAATCACATTCTGCCACACCTTGAGCTGCTGAAAGACGCCTGAGATGCTACTACTTGAGGCACTACCAAATTCTTGGACATGGACAGCGTCCTGCTCTGTGTCCATGAATGCAATGTGAAATCCCAAAACATGACCATGGAATGTAAAGTATGGCTCCACGAGACAAGTAGTATCCGGTAAACCCACACGCCGGGCAAGTAGCGCTTTCTGTCGTAAACTGGCCGCCATCCAGATGCTGAGCTGGTATTTCGCTTCGAAGATATTGCCATCATGCGCTTTGACTTGGATGCCCGAGAATAGGGCTGTTGTTCTTGTATATGCATCAGTCGAATGACTCACGACTTCATTTCCGTGCTCTAGGAGGCGAGCGTATATGTCGCTATAAGGTGATACGTGGTCAGAATAAGAGAGGCCGTAGTCGATTTTCCTGTCCAGAATGCGCTTTTTCTTTGGAGGAATCAATGGTATGAGACAGGAACTGGGTATCAACGCTCTGAGTCTGTACACTCTGCAGGCAAAGTTTGCCTTTGGCGTACAAACGGAGCGCCAACCGAATTGTTGGCACAGATGTCAATGAGCAAGCTGAGCGAGCTCAGCCAATTGGCTTGCTCAGCACAGTCCGCAACAATCAATTAAGTGGGTCCTAGAAGGTTCAGATTGGATTGATTGATTACCGCTTTAAGCCTAGTAGTTACCTATAGGAGTTTAAGCCCTACCTAGATAGGTAAGTGGGTCTAGGAGAGTGACCGGATTGAATTGATTGTTGCGGAGTCTATTGCTCAGCCAATTGAGCGGAGGCCAGCAGCTCGCTCGGCTCGCTCGGATTGGCTGAAACAGGGCTGTCAGCTCGCTCGGCTTGATGGGCTCAGTCCCGATTAGGAAAGTTATATAGAAACCTTGGTGTTGAGTTTCTCAGCTAATATCCCACTTATGTACACCGTATTTCGCGTCCATCTCCTCATCGCTGATAGCCTCCTTTACAGGCACCTCACCACTGCCAAATCCAGCTCTTATCCATCGTCGATCGCACTGTATTGCTGCTAGAAGTTGCGGAGAAATGCTGCGCCGACGGGGCTCGAGGAGGTCACCCAGCTCGCTGAATAAGCGCTCACACTCACAGCTTGAGCCTGGGATTGATAGCATGTCGATAGCAAATTTGCTAAGGCTGGGGTAGCGATCGCGGAGTCCTACCCAGTATTTTATAGGGTCGACGCCCTCGCTAGCGATCGGTTCGCTGCGTTTCCAAGCCTCATATTCATCCTCCTCGTTCTCCGTAAGCCCTGCAGGCTCAATAAAGCTGTTGATAGCGTCGTCTATATCATTGTGCCTGACTTTGGGGCGTAAGCGCGGCTTCGGTAAGCTTTTGTACTCCGCCCACAAATGTTGAAACTTGCGGTTGCTGCTCTCTAGCCAATCAGGCTTATCCGCCCACGCTGCGTCAAGGTAGCTTTTGTAGCGAGGATGAAGGATTGTAGCAGCATAGTAAGCTGGCGAGAGGTCGAGCTTGTTGTAGTACTCGCGGGCTTTAACTAGGGCAGCGCGGAGGTTGATAGCAAGGTGGTCTTCGGGTGACTCTGTATGCTCATCGTGAATGACGTCTTCATAGCTTTGCAAGCGGTCCTCATAGACTCCAAGTAAGTATTCAAATACTGGAATAACCTCAGCGATTGCTCCAAAAGCACCGCTTTTGCCGCGGCCTTCAAGCCGTTTTGTAGCTTGTTTCAGTGGCCTGAGCACATCAATATACTCAGCAATCACCTGCCAGTCATGGGCATTGATCCCATCGGACCTCATCCAATCCGGCGCTGCAGGCAGCTTGTTGTTACGACTTCGGGCGTACGCGTCTTCAGTTTCAATCTTCTGAATATGGTAGTTGGCGTACCCATTAACCGCTAATTGCAACTCAACAGCGCGCTCAAAACACGAAACGTAAGAGTTCCAGCGAGTAACAACTGGCTTGACGGGCTCCTTGATTTTGTGCTGTTCTGTTGGCGCGTTGACAGGCTGGTCCCTAATAGCGAGCTTCTGATACTTCTCAAAAAGAGCGTACTGTTGTGGTGTTTTGATGTAGTTGATAACCGCGAGAAGCACTCCCAATGGTCCATCGCCTCGCCAAGTAGCCATGTTCTCAGCTTCGTTCACGCGCTCAGTCTCCTCGTTGTCGTAGGACTCTTTCTCCTCACCCCAGAGTAGCATCTGGCCAATGAGATTAAGCGTATGAGGACCGCAGCGAAGGCGACGCTCGGTAGCGCTGAAGCCCATCTGCAAGGCGAGAGTGTTGATCGTGGTGTTGTTGTTATGTGCGTTGTCGAGGACGAAGTAACCGAGCTTGCCCACAGTGATTTCGAACTGCTTGAATATTGCCATCACGACCTCAGCCATGGCCTCGCCGGTGTGGGCACCTGTCAGTTGTGGGAGCGCAATAGGCAAGTCCCTGAGCTCGCCAGAGCTATCAAGGTAGTGGGCGACGATACCTAAGTAACCGCGCTTGCCACCTTTTGTCGTCCATCCGTCAAAGCTTATATGGACTTTGCTCATTGATTCTGAAAGGCTTGCGACAACCTTTGGTAACAGGTAGTTGTACAGGCGTATAACGTATCGTGAACCTAAGTAACCGCGCTTGCCACCTTTTGTCGTCCATCCGTCAAAGCTTATATGGACTTTGCTCATTGATTCTGAAAGGCTTGCGACAACCTTTGGTAACAGGTAGTTGTACAGGCGTATAACGTATCGTGAGACGCTGTTATGAGATGCCCACAGGGCTCGTTCTGCCTCTACGCTAGCTAATTGTATCATATTGCGAAAAGACGATGATTCGAATTGTGAGAGTGGGAGGTTGTTTTCGACGAGCCAGGTGACGGCCGCAAGCCTAAACTCTTGTATATTGAAGTTGGTAAGCTCGTTGGCAACAGCCTGAGAGCAGCCCTTCTGAAGGGCGCGTTCGAGGAGAGTTTCTTTCCGAGGAGCGACGGTAGTGCGCTTACTTGGAGGCTTCAAGCCATGACCTTTCTTGTCTTCTCCGAGATGACGTGCTGGCGCTGATGGAGACTGCGAGACGTCATGTATGCCACGGCCAACAGTAGTGAACTTGTGCTTATAGCAATAGTGGCAGATCCACGTGACTTTTGCGACGTTGCTGCGCAAGGCGATGCGATAGCCATGGCTGTATACCCAGCTTGCTCGGTTCGAAAGTGATGTGGGCGGCTTGCAGTGCTTTGGGTAGCGACTCCAATTAAAGCCGTCGTATTTGTCCTCTACCCATACGAAACCCTCGTCGACAGCCTCGCTAGCTGCTCCTGAAGCTGCAACAGTGGCATGCTCGCTGCCCTCAGGTGGTGGGATGATTGTCTCTTCGGCGCGCGACTCTCGGAGGGTCGCTTCAAAATTTGGTGCTTGTGGCGCGGCGACGAGAGCTTGACGCGGCGACAGCGGTGGAGGAGGTGGAGATGGTGAGAATGGCCGAGTATCGACTAGCACAGGTTGGCTGGCAGTCCCGCGATGACGCGCTGCGACTCTAGGGCGCTTCGAAGTTGTCGCGATTTCTAGAGCATTAACGCGTGTTCTTTTTGCTGGCATTATAGCAACGGCGAGGTAGATAATAGCTGCAAATAGAGACGCGTTGATGGAGTATAGGTGAGTGTGGTGGGTGATAAGTAGTAAGTGAAGTGTCGCAGAAGGAGAATATTGTTGCCAGGCCGTTA